GCTTCATGCTGCAGCCAAGTGCACCCTGACCGTGAACATCACTTTGTCTGGGTTCTTGTTAAGGGATTTAATTTAAGTTACCATAATAGGGATCTATAGTAAAGAATATGGTTTCCTTGTTTTAGCAGCTTGAATGGGAACCCTGAAAGGATCCCATAAGGGATCCTCAAGGAGCCCCGAAAAGATCCCTTAAAGAGTTACCAGAACAGGGATCTATAGTTCGCCAAAGGGATGGCTTGCTATGGTAACTTGAACTAGGTAGGTTCTTCCAGAAGAACCCGGTAAACCTGAAGCCGCTATCCCTCAACCTCAACTCTACATCCCTAGCTCTCAATGCTACACCTGGAATCCTGAGCCCTATATAGCCCTAAACCCTAAACCCAAACCCTAAACCCTCAACCCTAAACCCTAAACCCTCAGCCCAAACCCTAAGCCCTAAACCCTAACCCTAAACCCTGAGCAATCCTTAAGCCCCAAACTCCTTTCGGGAGAGTAAACTCTTCTCACTAAGTCATGTCGCAGGCATTCATGCCAACGGTCCCAGATGTTCATGGCTGATGCCTTAGGGTTTAGGGTTTAGGGTTTAGGGGGGTAGGGTTTAGGGTTTAGGGTTTAGGGTTGCTAAACCCCAAACCCTAAATCTCAACTAATCTTAGCAAGTTGATCGGATCATCGTACATAGGGCTTCTGGACTATTCATACTTGGAGGTTCATGGATAGTTACAAGTGAGGCTATAAGTAGGGTAACTATACTTATAACCCATCTTAGGGGACTTATAACTCCACTTATAACTACCCATGAACCTCCAAGTACTTGAAGGATCATGGGACTTCGTAAGTGAGTTATGTTTAAGGAAACTACACTTATATTTACTTCAATTAAGGGACTTCTCACCTTACTTACTAAGTCCCATGATCCTCCAAGTAAGGGTGCAGGAATGTCGGGGGCTTGGGCAGCGGGATACTGACAAGGCCCATCTCTGACATCTTCGGAGACTTTAGGGTTGAGGCTGGTAGTCTACCTTAAAGGGTTCCTTAGAAACGTTTTTTATAAGGACTCCTATAAGAAGAATTAGAGAAGATACCTTATTCTTTAAAGGGCTTCTATAAGGGTTCCTATAAAAGAACTAAGGAACTAAGGAGGATACCTTTAATCATATATATATATATATATGCTGTTCTAACTTTGGGGATTTCGGGGTTTTGGGTTTCAGGGTTTAGGGCGAGCTTTTGAAAGGGTATACGTTTCAGGCCCTGAACCCTAAACCCCTAAAGCCTAAAGCATAATAAACCTTAAAGCCTAAGCCTTAAAGACCAAACCCTAAAGACTGAAACCGAGGCCCGGAACTACCAGAGGCCGTGGATTGAACCTTCCCGGGGAAGATATGGACCATTCACACAGAGGGCCCCTTTAAGGGTTTAGGGTTTCTATAGGGTTTAGGATTTAGGGTTTTAGGGTATAGAAAAAGACCCAGAACCACCAAACCAAACCCCGCCAAAGCCCAAACCTAATCCCGGAACAGCCACGTCCGACAAACCCTAAAACCCGGGGAGAGAACCTCCTAGCCTCTAATCTCTTATACCCTAGGCCCTAAGAAGCTAAACCCCTAAACTCGACAGAAAAGGGGCCATCATAAGAAGAAGCCTGTGGTGGGGGATGTTGTAGTATAACTTGATAAGGGACTGTAAAAGGACGCCATCACCATTTGCTCCGCACGTTCTCCCCCTCAGAGAGCTCAATCCCCCCTTCTGCAGTTTAGAGAATCATGTTTAAATCAACCCTAAACCCCAAATCCTGAAAAGCCCTAAATCTTTAGAGAATCTTCTTTAAACCAACCTTCAACCCTAAATCCTAAACCCTTAAAGCCCTAAACCTTTGGAGAATCTTCTTTAAACCAGCCCTAAACCCTCATTAACGCCCTAATTTTATATCGAAGGCATTTCGACTCGCTGGATCCCTGCCTGTTCAAGGGCTTCCTCAGGGTCGGTCTTGTAGGCCTCCCCCACACTGGATTTAGGCTTTAGGGGTTTAGGGTTTAGGAGTTAGGGTTTAGGATATAGGGTTTTAGGGGTTTAGGGTTTAGGACCGTTTAGGATTTAGGATTTAGGGTTTAGGGTCCAGGGTTCCCCAACACTGGGCTCTCTTGGAGGCCCAAAAGCATCTGTGATCTGGTGTCTAGAACTGGGCTTGGGAGCTTAGAGTCTGGAGTTTTGTTTCAGGATTGGGATCGAAGGTTCAGCCAGGACCCCCCAAGGGCCCTTTAATGGAGGCCTTATGGTCCTTAATTGTGGGTATTTAGGGCATATTAGAGGGTAGTTGGTGGGTCGAGGAGAGTGCAAGGTTTAGGATAGGGGCTTGCATTTAGGGTTCGAGGTCCGGGGAGAAGAGCTCTGATCTTGCACTTAAGAGCAGTGCTGAGAACTCCAGCGCATCAGGCACCGGCAATAAATAGAATGCGGATACTATTCAGCTCCTCGGGAGCATTTTGCCACCTGCTTCGGATGCCGCAATGTCCCCAAAACCCTAAACCCTAAACCCTAAATCTCGACCTTAAACCCTCGACTCTACACCCTCCCAGGCGAAGCTCCAGTCCAGCCTTCATCCATCAGCTCCTGTCCAGCTTTCAACCCGTCCGAAAGAAGACCCCGCCGTCCCAGCCGTAGTTGGCCTTCCATGGATACCTGGGGTTTTCTGTGGCAGCTTAAGGAATCACCGGTTATGCAGGCTCCGCGGTACTCCAGAAGATGATGTCCTGGCGCTGATCACACTGTGGCGTGTGGTTGCTGCCTGCTGTGCAATGGCAGGCCTGGCAGCAATGGACATGCGAACAGCCGGCCACCCTGTTGCACGAGAGGGTCAGGCATGCGCCCTCCACTCATCTCCGAGCACGGTCCTCCTCATTGACACGGCGCTCAGTGTGAGAGCCCACTGTGCCACGTGTGCAGCCGGCTCGTCAAAGCGAGACTGCAGGCACAAGGCGGGTTGACGCAGGCCAGTGTTGGTAAACTTGTCGATACCATCGCGGTTTAGGGTGTAGGGTTTAGGGTACCCCAGAGACCCTGAGCTCTACCCAGAACGCGCACCACCCCGTGTTCGGAATGCCTATACTCTCCATCGTAGTTCCTTTTGCGGGTTACCTTAGAGGATCGTACGTACTAGGGGTGGTATGTACCATGGCTTAGGGAGGAGTCTTACATTCGGCTGTGTGCACTCCGAGCAAGCCCCATAAGCTGTAACCACCCTCCGGCTCCCATTCCACGACGGCTAACTGCTACTGCCCTAAGGGTCCATGCACCAAAATCGTAGATACTTTGGCCCCAAAGTACCCAAATAGGGACTACTTTAAGGACAGAGTATATACTAGTTAGCTCCGTGGACCCTTAGGGTTGGAAAAAAACAGATAATTACCTCATGCAGGCTCCGGGGTCCAGGGTTCTGACGAATTTGGAACCTATCCTAATTCTTCGAAGGACATGGGGAGGGAACCTCAACCCTAAACCCTAAACCCTAAACCCTAAACCCTAAGCCTTAAGATACCCCACGGATAAGCACGCCTTCTCGAGGAGCCTGGCGGGGTCCTGCAATGGTGTTGGTGTTTGAGCGGTGTAGGGCTTAGTCGAGTTCTAGGGTATACCTAAACCCTATAAACACATAAGCAGTGAACCACTGTTGATGACATAAAACCAGCAGTACCTTAAGGACCCTAAACTATGGGAATTATGGTATGTTCAATCTTATGGGTAATGCAGGATTTTTATCAGCAACCGTAAGGGTTCAGGGAGTAGGGTTCAGGTCTGCGTCTCTATTTACTAAGCATAGCGGTTTCAGCGTTTGGGGACGGCCACAGGTAGTGCTGTGGTGCTAGGACTGCCTTGGCCTTGATAGGCCCCGTGTGGAATAGGGTTTGGGGGTATATTATAATATAAATACAATAAAGACCCTCCAAAATAGCATAGGTGACTATTAAGGTCCCTATAGTAGATATGAGGGTTGAGAACTTAGATTTCACTAATTTCGGGCACTGTCCCTCAGACTCGCAGAGAGGGCAGATTTGGGGATGTCGCAGAACCTGACGTTTTGCCAAGAGCCCAGGGCATCCAGGCATCCAAATAGCCTTCTATAGGGTTTAGGGTTTCGGGTTACGGAATGCTCCGAAACTTAAACCCTGAAGCCGAGAGTAAACTATGTTGAGGTTCCTTTTTCAGGGCAGCAGTACAACAAAGAAGCGTGGCTCCCACCGGCTAGTGGCTTTGAGGTCAAGCCTATCACACAGACTCTGAACATATCTGAACCTGGTACAGCACTGGACTATCAAAGGAACGCAGAACCCTAGACCGCGAACCGTAGCTTAAATCAGAACATGAACTGGCCAGTCTCATCTGGGTCGAAACTTTCAGAGCAGTGTATGTCGCATGAGACGATTATCCTTGAAGCCAAGTACCCTGGCCCAAAAAAGTTTAAACTTTTCTTTTAGTAGGGGGTTTAATATACCAAAAAGTTTAAAGTTTACCTACTGGGCTCCTAAGCTATAAAGAAGCCTCGAACTAGGAATCGAAGGCCCAGCCCCGCAGGGCCCTGTGAAAATCTCTGCATGCCCAGGGCTTCCAAATTCCCCTTAACCAAGGAATATATACCTTAGCTTATAGCAGGGATCCCGCTATAACTTAAAATGCATTACATATTCTTCTTGGATTTTGGAAGCTCTGGACACACTTTTGTCCTAAAACCAAGCCAAGCCTGAAGTTAGCTTTTGCACCGTATAAACGTCCTGCTGTGTCTCACTGATTCGGTTTATGCACTGACCATCTCTGATGGGCTCATACAGTTGTAGGCAGATTAACGGCAGGAGCACCCACAGCAGCAGCAGCAGTTGTTGTTGTCATTGTTCTTGTTGCTGCCGCCATGGTAGCAGAGATTTTAACGACCTTCTCCGCCCGTCTTTTCACCATCAGCATCACGGTCGTCATCGTCGTGATGATTGTAATCACCATCACTCCCAAACCACATCCATCTTCATCTTCAACTACAGCATCCTATCATACGCACAATTAGACTAACCATCTTAATAGCACTCATTCAAGCCCCCGACCTCGTCTTCGGCTGGCGGCAGGGCCTTGCCCAGGAACGTCGTCGTCTTCGGCGCACCCTGCTGACGCACATTTGCGTAGTTCTCTAAGTCAGGGTCCCCTTTATAAGGCTGCCGTACTACATTGGGGACCTAAAGAAGGGACCCTACTTTAGAGAACTACCCATCTACCTGCAGACCTGTACCCCAAGCCCTGAGCCGTGAAATATGGAACACAAGGCCTCCTATCTCAACCAAAACCTTACACCCCAGACCCTAAACAACCACCCAATTCCCTGAAGCCCGAAATAGTCTAAAAGTAGGAAGGTAGGATTAGGGGGCACCCTGGATGACCCTCTCGGCAAGGTCCCCTTTCAAGAGAGCCATCACTAGGGTTAAGAAGGGCCAACCTTTAAGGGGTTTAGGGTTTAGGGTTTAGGGTTTAGGGTTTAGGGTTTAGGTCTCCCTACTACCTACGAAACAGTTCACCCGGAACCCAGCGAAACCAGACTCACCGCCTGAAGTTCACTATAGAACAGCCCCAAACCCTTTTGCAACTGGCTTGGGTTTAGGGCTTAGGGTTTCGGGTTTAGGGTTTAGGGCTAACCCTAAACCCTAGACCCTAAACCGTGCTAACCCTAATTATAAAGCCCCAATGTATGTCCCTAATGGTTTTTTTCAGGGCATGTAGGGTGTCTGGAATTCCCTGGAGTCGAACAGTGTCCCTTCGACCCAGGGCATTTCCTGTCCTTGGATGAATCCTGCGTTTAGGGTTTATAGGGCTTAGGGGTTTAGGGTTTAGGGCTTAGGGCTTTAGGGTTTAGGGCTTAAGGGTTTAGGGCGTAGGGGTTACGGGTTCAGGGCTTAGGGCTACTCTCCCCCTGAAAAGCCCCAGCAGAGCCTTGGATACTGCCAGCCGGAAGCGACGGAGGGCCTCTGACATAGCTTTTGAGGGTTTTGGGACGTAGTACAGCCTTAGGGTTTATAAGGTTTAGGACTTAGGGTTGGGATTTTAGCTTACCGCCCCCCCTTTCCAAAAAAGAGAACTCTACTCTTTTGTGGACCTGTACAAGAAAATCATCATGGGAAACCCTAAAAACATAGGCCTAAAACCCTGATACCCTAAACCCTAAAACCCTTGACCCTAAACCCTGAAACCTAAGGCCTCTTAAGCCTCTTAGGGCTACTTGGACCGTAGGTTGTACGGTTTGGCTCTTGCGAGGCTGGACAGCCTTGGCTCAGGGCAGGAAGTGGGTTTAGGGTATTTGGGTTAGGGTTTAGGGTTTAGGGTTTAGGGTTTAGGGTTTAGGGTTTAGGGTTTAGGGTTTAGGGTTTAGGGTTTAGGGTTTAGGGTTTAGGGTTTACGGTTCCCGGTATTAGGGTATTTGGGTTATTAAGGGTAGGGTGTTTTGATTCTTAAGAGTATGTAGGCTATGGAGGGTAGAGAGAAGTCTGCTGAGGGTGTAGGGTTTCGAGACTCGGGAACAGTATCTAGGTATTCAGCACATTAGGGTTTTGGGATTGGACCAGACGAATTGGGTTTAGGGTTCAGGGCTTCAGGTGTAGGGTACCCCTAACCCGAAACACGCAACACAAGAAACTGTGGAACCTTGAGCCCGGACCGATCGAAGCACAGGTCCATCGCTTGCAGGATCGCAGGGAGGGGCTGCGAGTTCAGGGTTTAGGCTGCAATACGTAAAGACATGCAGGATTGAACGTATCTGGGATAGGCTAACCTTCATGCAACCCCACGCCCCGAACCCAGAACTCCACAGACGATACCTTCTGAGCTAGATGAGCCCGTGCATAATATCGGGGCTAAAGTAATGGTCAGAATAGAGTGTGGGTGTCCCTTACACTACTACACTGTGACATTATCTGGAATGCAACGAACAGCACTGCTAACTATTCCTACCCCGTAATTGAACCCCCCTACCCCGAAATTGAACCCCAAACCCTAAACTCCCTAAACCCTAAACCCTACCCCGTAATTGAACCCTAAACCCTAAACTTACACCCTAAACCCTACCCAGTAATTGAACCCTATGGCCCTGAACTCCCTAAACCCTAAACCCTACCACGCCGTCGGGGTGCTTGATGTACGCGAGGTCCAATGACTCCGTAGCCATCCAAGCCTGGCCAGAGAGTCTCTCCATCAACTTCTGAGCCCTGTAGGAAGCATCGATGCCCGTGCTAGCTTCGAACAAACGGACTCGGCGCCGGTACTCCCGCATCGGGCTGTCCCCGCTAAACTCGGCGACGTGGTCCTTGCCGGTCTTGGGCACGTCCTTCTTGGAGGTGCCACTGCCGACATCACTGTCTCGTGGGTCCCGGTCATCGGTCCCATCTCGCTCATGTTCTTCCGCACTCGTGGGAAACTCCGTAGAAGCTGTCATAGACTGTGCTGAGTTCCTACGAAACCCTAAACCCTGAACTTACACCCTAAGCCCTACACGGTAATTGAACCCTATAGCCCTGAACTCTGAACCCTCGGCCTGACGGAAGAGCTTGAATCCCAGCGCCGGGTCCTGCACACGTTCTTGGACATCCGGGGCTTCGTACGGTATTTTTTATTAGGGTATAGGATCTTAGGGTTTAGGGTAAGGATAAGGTTCAACAAGCACACCCCCTCACTCCGCTTCAAGGGGCCTAGGGAATACAATAAAGTTTACTTGGAAAAATCTAGGTAGGGTTGTACTTTAAGGCTCAGGGTTTGAAGCCTTCGGCGCTTATGATTTTCTTTGCTGCTTGCACTTCCTTTGTCTTCGAGCCCTGCAACGATGACCTTAAAAAGGCATCGGCCCCACAAGGAGGTGAGTTCTTGCAGGCGTCGTCGAGGACAGCTTTTGGGGAGGAAACCGGCCCGGTGCTCCTTTGGGGTTTAGGGATTAGGGTTTAGGGTTTAGGGCAGGAACGTATCTCATACAGACCTGTTTCTCCTCGATCTGCTCATGGATATACGCCGCTCGGACCCTCAAATGCCTCGTCCTCCACGAACCCCAAGGGTACAGGTACCCAAATAGTATATACCTTGGCCTTCAAGTAGTCCCTACATCGGTACTTTGGGGCCAAAGTATATACTATCCGGGCACATGGACCCTATAAGGGGAAGCTGCAAAACATACCCTAAACCCTAAACCCCAAACCCTGCACAACACACGGCTTCGCAATCGAGATCGCCGCCTGATATAACTCCTGCATTTCCCATGAAAAGGAATATTTACCATAATCCCCATAGTTTAGGGTCCTTAAGGTAATGCAGAATTTGTATCATCAACAGTAGGGTTGAGGGTTTAGGCCTCAACGGCAGCCACAAGTTCACACTCAGCCGTGCTCAAGCACGCGAACGGTTGTTTGGCCACTCGCCAAGTGATTGGCGATCCCCTCCAACTCAGGACCACAACTCGGTGCAAATGTACTATCTGAGTAGGCAATCAGCTCAACCTCAACGCCGGACAAAGCGTCTGTTAGAGGTAGGACAAGAGACGGGTCCAAATGGTAACGGTGACGGACTCCTCTCGGAGCCAACTCCAGAAATTGACGTTGGTGCCCGAGACTTGTGTGTCACGTGTCTAGGACTTGAGCTTAGGGTTTAGGGTCTAGGGGTGAGGGCATTGGGCTTTGGGGTTTAAGGTTTGGAAATTTGGGGTTTAGGGCTTTATCGGCTTAGAGCCTCGGGTTTGGGGTTTGGGGCCTACATGGCATTCAGACGTTTGCAGCAGTCCGGGATTAGTGCCCTAGGGGTTGTCGTCTTTCTGATTGGGTGCCACGATCCACAGAACTTCGCTGGGTTCTGTATCGACACAAGCGGATGTTTGGGTGACATCACAAAACTTAGCCCCTGAGAGGCCTAAAGCCTCAACTCTGAACCATTATAAGCAGCATTGTGCAAACCTACAGTTCTAGCTAAGCTAAAGCCCACCCTATACCCAGCCCTAGACCCCAAAGCCAACCCGAGATCATCCTACATAAAGTGTGCGGGATGGTGATTTCAATGCAGGTCCCTGGTTAGTTTTCAAGACCCCCTAGCCTGTCCCCCTGCTGAGTGCACTGGCCAACAGTTGCACTTTTGCTAGTATGATAGGGTGATATGACCCACCAAAAAATGGCCAGGCATTGCCTACTCAACCCCTGGAACTATTTTGGCTGGTTGTCATTGTAACTGTAACGGGTTATCCCTGTAGAGAACTAAACCCCAAGTCACCCTAAACCCTAACTAAACCCTGAAGGATTCAGAGTCGGAGCTCCTTCGCCACCTCCGCAACCTGCAAAGGAGCGCTTCGGTTCTTTCTGACAGTTCTCACCACTGAGGGTTTAGAGTTTTCAGGGTTTGCAGTTTAATATGTTGGGTTTTCTGCTCTTGAAAGAGTTTGGAGCTGAAAAGCATCAACATGCAAAACAAAACACCAAAAGTACGAACGACAAGATTTGCGCGTGCCACCGTTGCCGCTCTCGTTCGTAATAACTCCGACTGTTGGGGTTATGTGTGCTACTGGTTATCCACTGCTGCTGTTCTATCTCTGCGCTCAAGATGCCAGCCACCACAGCATGCATGTTTGCATATACATATACATATACATAAAATATACATATATATATATATATATTATGCACACACAACACACACAGACAGATAGACTGTACATTACTGTATGTGCTTACAACCTAAACCGAGACTCCCAACCCTAAACCTTCATCGAGGGGCTTTGGCATCTCTGCGTAAGCCTGATATCACAAACCTCCATGCAAACCACCCGAGACTCCCTAGCCTCGACTGTCGTGGTGCTTAAGGTTAAGATGTTGCCCTGGTTTCTGTCCTATTGTGTCAGCCTGCCTTGAATATAGGACCCTAATATAAGGGCCGTAGTAACTAGAGAACAGGGTTTTTGTGCCCATTATGCTGTATTTACTATAAGGAACCCCCAAAATAGTATTGGTAATTATTTAGGCCCCTATATTGCTTCAACAGCTATGCTGGTTTACCCCGGGTCAGGGTTTGAAGTTGAAAGTCCAGCGTGGTGCTCCTAGGTTGGGCATGTGGAAACACCATTCCCAAGATGAGACCAGGAACTCGAAACCCCAAACCCTATACCAGGACCTTTATACCCCTAAGAGTAGGTAGTTAAGGTCTAACCATTCCCAAGATGAGACCAGGAACTTGAAACCCTAAACCTTATACCAGGACCCTTATACCCCCAAGAGTAGGTCGCTGTCTAATAGAGGGTGGATGGCGGGCCCAGGTCATCTCCAGAATGTTGGAACCCCGGATTCTTTGGAGAGCGCCTCTTCTTCCGGAAAGCTCTGCAGAAGTTGCGACAGGCACGATTCAGGTGCGAAGAGAACAATTCCCAAAAGGCGTAGTCCTCTGCAGAGCTTAGGGTTCGGAGTTTGGGGAGCAGGCGGACTCGGGTTCAGGGTTCAGCGTTTAGGGTTTAGGGTTCAGGGTTCAGTGTTTAGGTTGCCCGGCTCACGAGTTACAAGGGCCCCTACAAGGACCCCTCCCGCCACCTGTAGAGTACAAGAGTAGCAGACGCACTTTGATCTTCAACAGAGGTTACCTGGACCCTAAAGAGGCTACCTGTTTATGGCTTGTGGTTCCTAACTATGATCCCCTCATACAAATGCTGGAAAAGGCAGGTTAAGGGCGGGTGTGCAAGGTAAAAGGTTCCTGATAGATGGCTGGACTTGAAGTTGCCACAAGGTCCGACGTAGGTTTTGACAAAAATAACGTACTACCCATCGGCCCCATAGTAGTTCCTTTTTGGGGCTCATATTTAAAACCTAATAAGGTAATCCCACAAAGGAACTACTATGGGGCCTATGGGTAGCCTAATGGCGGTACCTTAGACCAGGCTTCACTAGCGCAGAACACGACAACAGGGGCCCTGAAGCCTTGCCCCTAAAAGCCCTAAGATAGGGGCCTTAATAATGAGAATCGGGCTTGGGGGCTCATTATACTCTAATTAGTTATAATAAGGAACCCCCCCCCAAAAAAAATATACGTAATCATGTCGGCCCCTATTTATTATAATGATTGTATAAGGGGCCCCAAAACCCTATTCTAATTAATCAAGGCCCCTAAACCCTAAACCGCTATAGTAGCCCTTATAGAACCCTTTAAGGAACCCTTGAAAGGAACCCCCAAAACCCTATTCCAATTAATCAAGGCCCCTATACTGTACTCCCTTCACCTAAACCCTAAACCCTAACCTCCCTTCACCTCAGAGCCCGCTGTTGCTCTGAGCCTTGGCTGTCTGCATCAAGGCAGACCTAACTTGTGGGGTTGTAGGGTTTAGGGTTTAGGGTTTTAGGGTTTTAGGGTTTTAGGGTTTAGGGTTTAGGGTTTATGGTTTTAGGGTTTTGGTTTTAGGGTTTAGGGTTTTGGGTTTTAGGGTTTGTGGTTTGGGGTTTAGGGTTTAGGGTTGGAGCTGACAAAAGACAGAGAAACGGCTGGCGCGACTCATGCGCCCTACACCCTAAAACTCCCAAGCTCCTAACCCTAACCCAAAATCATCCCTCCCCCCCTCCTGTCCCTCCCCTCAAACAAAAGTTGGGCCAGGGTCCAGCGGGCTGATCCTCCATAGCACCACAGGGTCTAGAGTTCGGCAGATCTCATGTCTCCATGGATCGGCCGCTTCTGGGAGAGTGCAGGGTTGAATCTTGTGCTTTACGGTTTTGGGTTTAGGGTTTAGGGTTGAGGGGTTAGAGGTTAGGGGGTTTAGGGTTTAGAGTTTACGGCTTAGGGTTTAGGGTAAGGCCTTGGGTGCATAGGCCCTACCATGGTCTATCGAACACATGAGAGCTGAGAACAAAGCAGGGGCTCTAGAGGGTATGGGATTACTTGAGGCTTTAGGGCTTGGGATGCATAAGGTTGGGAAACCTCAAAACCCTAAACCGTCATCTCTATATCGATCCCAGGATGTCTGCTGGAGCTCTTAGCTCATTGGCTTGGCGCGGCTTTAAGCTTTAGGATTTAGGGGTGAAGTTAGGGTTTAGGGTTTAGGGGTTTAGGGTATAGGGTGTAGGGCTTCGGGTTTACGGGCTGAGGGGCTTAGGACTTAGGGTTGAGGCGCTCGCAAGAAGGTTTTAGGCCTGGGGTTTTTACCGCCGATGGAACGTAATGTAGGGGCCTTAATAATTCGAATATAGGGTTTTGGGGTATATTGTACTACTATAATATAAAGAACCCCCAAAAAAATATTGGTGATTGTTTTGGCTCCTATATTAAACATGCCCTGCGTGTGCTCTCCTTGATCCTTCATGCGGCGCAGTGCACGGATTCCTCTAGTGCTATCCTGAAGGGTTTAAAGCTTCAAAACCGAAACCGAAATCCGGCGGTTTAGGGTTCAGGGTTTAGGGTTTCTTTTGCCCCGATCGCCCGAACACTTGAAATCCGGCGGAACTGTAGAACACCCTGATCTCGGAACCGCACAGGAAACAGCTATACTGTGCTGATGCCCGGTGTGTGTGTGCTTATGGGGCTTTATTGGCAAATTGACAAACCATTAGGGTTCTGTTTGAGGCAAGTATTGTAACCCATACTTATGCTGAGCATCCAGAGTGAGCGTCGGCCAGTCAAGGACGACGATGACTTCTATAATAAAGACAGAAGCCGATATTAGTGTTTAGGGTTTAGGAACCTATTGGCAACTGCCACCGAAGACAGATAGACCGCGAGAGAAAGCCGGACAAAGAGAAACCCTACTTACTTACACCTGAACCCGGATATAGTCGCCTTCATGATTAGAATAGGGTTTGGGGTATATTATGCTATTTTTATAAGAAGGAACCCCCTAAAACCCAACTCTGATTATTAAGGCCCCTACATTAAACACTTCCTGTGCGCTGCTTCCGATACTACAGATCATCCGCAGGCGAAGATTTTGCACGCTGAGCTCTCGCCAACTACGACGTGGTGATCCCAAACACCATCAACGGTTTAGGGTTTAGGGCTTNNTTAGGGCTTAGGGGTTTAGGGTTTCCTAATTTCCAAACACCAAATACAAACTCTAAAGCCCTGCACCCGAAAATCCGTAAACCGTAACCCCTGTGGCTACAGCAACTTCAGCTTGTGAGATACTCTGGGCTTCAAGCTACGCGAAGCCCATCACATTACAGGAATCTTAATGATGCCTACTAGTTATACAGACCACAGTATGTGGTGCTACGGACAAAGAAGTTTAGGGCCCCGCTCTACGAGCCTCGACTTCAACCGCTATGATCTGGAACAGCCCCAAACACAAAACCCTAAAGCATACCTGGACCCAAAATAACCTAAAAATGACATTTGTAAGGAACTCATAAGAGGGAGCCCTAAAAGGAGGGTTTTTATAGAGTCCAGGTACAGTCTTATAAACAAAATCGAATCCGAAGCCCCAAACCGTAGAACCCCTGAGCCGACCTCAACGGTGGACACCAAAACCCTCGAACCCTAGACGGTTT